CTTATGTTAAGATACAACTATTTAGGGGTTTCTGCTAAGTAAATAGAAGTGCGCTTTTCCTGTTGTGCATTTGTATGCTTCAGTTCTCTTTTTCGTGCCGGGTATACTTCAGTTATACTAAAACATCCATCTTATTTGTGTGCAAATATTTGTTATCGTTCAAGTTAGTTGTATATATATAGTACTAAGTTCAACATGCACACAAAGATGATCCGGTTGAGGTTTACTGGCATAATGTGTATCATTGCTCTATGCATGCTGAAAAGGTTATGCATATGGACTAAATTATACTACCACTGTCCTAAAAATCTTGTCTTGGATTTATCTAGATACAGATGAATCTAACACTAAAACGTGTCTAGATATATCCGTTTCTACACAAATCTAAGACAAGCTTTTTGGGACAGAGGAGGTAGTTGCTTGAGATTATTCACAGAAAATGGCATTCTTGGAATGTCTTGGTCAGTGCCATTCTTGCAATCATATAAAAATTCGTAAATTACTATGTTTGATCAGAATTGGTTACTTGATATGTGGGTTGAGAAGGAAGGAAAGGAAAAAAAAATGTCCTATAATGATAAAAAATTTGACAATATTGCTTGATGTGCACAGGATCCTAAAAGTCTTCTGCACCTCCAAGCATTCGTGGGAAGCTCCGCCACTCATTGACTTGGGATTGATCATATTCATCGAGAATAGGTGGACAATATGACGATCATCGACAATTTTTGTCTCCTGTAGCAATGCATGATGTAGGCGGGGACTTGGACAATGGGGCGGCAAGGCGGAATGCATCAGCACTCCTCAATTGTGGGTAGCGTTGGCGGCGGTGACTTGGGCCGGGAAGCAATGAGCGTCAGCAGTTGGCAATTGCGGGTGGCAGTGGCTGGGGGTTAGGAAGAGAAAGGTGGCGATTTTGTAGGGTGGACAAAAAAAGGGAGTGGCGGGAGGAAAAAGAACAACAATAACATCGGGTCATTGCCGACGGAGGAAAGGCAGGGGTTAACATATTCAAGTGTGGCTAGGCAGAAAGTCGCGAGCGCCAGAGTTGGTGACGGGTTTAGAGGGATCAAGGGTGCCGACAAAGACAACCTTAATATTTATTTATTTATTTATATGCATAGCCCGTAGCAACGCACGGGCGTTCTACTAATTGTTGCAGTATATATTGTACTAGTACTAGCGAGTAGCAGGCAAAACGTATCATCGATTTCTCCAATCTGGAATAAATAGGCGCCCAAGGAGCCAGATTTCCATAGGTATACCGAACAAGAGGGAGGGACTTCATTTGGAAACCCTCCTCCCTTCCTTCCGCTTATTGTTACCCGGCACCAAACCTCGCTTCAACGGATATGCATTTCTCCAAAAAAATGGGTCATGCGGATCGAGTTAGTCACGGTCATCCATCTCGCTGAGGACACCTCCAAGAGTACTTTTTTTTGGAAAAAGTATAAAACAAACTTTAAATTTGTAGGCGAAAGCTAAACCGAACCCCAAACTCTCAATACCTGAAATCAGCACACCAAACTCTCTAATCCCGACCTATTTTAAACCTTGAGTGGACTTCGCCGGTATTTGTTGAATCGGGCGGGCCCAGTAGCGCAGTTGCTCAAAAATAAATACGTTTTCAATACTTGTTTGATCTAATTTATTTTCCAAAGTTCGACGCTTTGGTTTCTGATTAAATATGTTCGGCCTCTTATTATGTAAGTCATAGTCATCTGGTGTAGTGGCTAACGAAATCAAGTCAACCCTGCTCGGTCCCAAGTTCGACTCCACGGCATGTTTTTCTCTTTTGGAATTATTACGTCGCGCACTAAGAAAAAAAAGAATATTTATGGCGTGTGATAAGTGAAAAAAACTCGCTTTATGTCTGGTGGGCCGGCCCAGTCGAGTCCACGGCGAACAATCCGAAACTTTTTTAAAAATATTATTTAAGATATTCCAAAAACATTATTAAAAAATGTGACACAATTTTGAAAATCCAAAACATTTTTCATAGCATGTGAAAAACTGTTGGAATTCTGAACATTTTTTGACAAATGTGGTTTTTTTAGATAGCGAAAAGTTTTTTAAAATGCGAATAGAATTTCAGCATTCCAATATTTTTTTAAACACAAAATGAATTCAATTCATGAAAAAGAATATAAAACAGGAACATTTTTTAACTTATGAACTATATGTGAACATTTTTTGAACTTCACGAATTCTTGTTCTGTTATAGTGGGCCGGCCCAAATTCTTGTCCGTGAGAGTAGCTGATTATCCCGGACGGGATTATAGTATTCCCGTTGTGCCAAACAGGTCTAGGGTCGAAAATAAACCCGGGTTACAAGTTCGGAGTGTCAATTTCCGGGATCCAAAGTTCAGGGTTTGATTTAGCTTTTGTCTACAATTTCAAGGTTTAGTTTGGACTTTTCCCCTTTTTTTTGACAATCAATACCATTATATATTTATAGAAATGAATTGTACATGGTAAAGATCCATGAGCTGACCACAACAAGTACAAAATAAAATCTAGAAAGAACGAGCAAGTCTTTGAGATCTCGAATCTTTTTTTTCTTTCATGACACAATCTTATACTTTTCTGACGGCAGCCGTAGAAAAATAACAAAGGTCTCAAATCGCAGACCTATAAATACTAATAAGGATTCTTCCATAGTTTTAATTTGAGCTGCAATACCAAGGCTGTGATGCACACACGCAGCCATTAAAGTAACCAACCAACATTGACAGAAGTACCAATACGGATATTCCAGGGACAAAATACCAAATAGCCATGTTAATGTCACTGGGAGCCGAGAGTATGAATCACCATTATCGAGGGCGTAGCAGATGGGACATATATTGCGAGATCAATCCTCCTAGCGGCGACCACGAGGAAAAATCCAGAACCGACCCGACGAAGCGAGATCTGAAGAATCATACCTAGACAAGTAATTTTCTAACATCGCCATTGACGTCGGGAAGAAGATCCCGTCGTCGAAGAAAGGGATCAAGATTACTTATTGTAGACGATGGCATCTCCAAAGAAGAAAACGACGACTACCAAAATCCTAAACCAATCTAATGAAAACACTATTATTATTAGGAACTCCACTCATAGATCAGGTTTCCCACCCCTTCCCACTCCGGCGAGGCTGGCCGGTGGAGGGGGAACCGATCTATGGTGGAGGCTGAGGTGGTTGACGGCGGCTAGGTCGGTCGCGATTTCTTCTTATAACCGAAGGAAGAAAGGCGTGCACAACGCCTCTAAAATGAAGGAATGCTATGTTCAGGACTACTTGGTGCATCTTCCTTCCCACTTGCTACCAAACATCGTCATAAACCAAGTAGCTCGGTAGTATAACTGTCTCCCCAAACCATGTGCAAATGCAAGGTTAACGTTGGAATGGACAAGAAAACACGTGGTTTTCCTTCAGTATATTGTACTAGTACTCGCTCTGTAAAAAAATATAAAAGCGTTTAGATAACTACTTTAACGATATGTTTCAAATGAGCTAGCAGGCAAAACGTACTATTGATTTCTCCAATCTCGAACAAATAGGCATCCAAGGAGCCACATTTCGATAGGTATACCGAAGAAGAGGGAGAAACTTCATTTGGAAATTCTTCTTCCTTCCTTCATTCGTTTCATTGTGCCCGCCCAGTCCGGCTCCGGAGTCCCCAAGAACAAGAAGAGGAACAAGGAGTAGAGCACATTGATCCAAGGAGGAGAGATACAATGGCGTCAGCCTGCTTCTTCGCCCGTTGCGTCTCCGTCCCCGCGCACCTCCTGGCCATCCCCACGCCCCTCGCCATCACCACCCGCAGGTAAGTCTCTCTCTATACAACCAATCCTGGATCCTTTCGGTTCCAATCTCCTGCCTTCTCCGGCCGCTAGTCTCTTTTTTAAGCATGTACACATATATTGGAAATGAGAACATTTTTGAATTTCCTGAACTTCTTGAAAGATGATTTCTTTTGAAAATGTCAACAAAAATTTGAAAGCAAGAACATTTTTTTTAAAACTATGATTTTTATTCTAAAACAAGAACATTTTTTGAAATTCAAAACAATATTTGAAACTTTCGAACAAAATAAACAGGAAAATGAAAAAATAAAACAAAAATTAAACTTGGGAAAAGGAAATGAATATGGGAGAAAATAAAAAAGAAAAAGAAAAAGAAAAAGAAAAAAGATAAAAGTAGATAATAGAAACAGGAAAAAGATAACAAAAAAGAAAGGTAACAAGGAGAAACCAAATCTGGTTCAGGAATCTTCTAGAACGTTTCCAGAACCGGAAAAAACCCATCCAGAAACCTCTAGAGAGTTCCGGAAACCAGGATCGCTGAAACATTAAGGGGGCCGGTCTGAGACGAGCGATCACTCGATCTCCGTGTGCGAAACGGCGACGCTTGGATGCAATGAGCATCCGTTACGGAATTCCGAAACAAATGAACGAAATGACCTACCTACTGCCTCTTTAGGGGTAGAGATGCATGTCTCCACAAATTCGGTCATGCGGATCGAGTCAGTCACGGTCATCCACCTCGCCAAGGACATGTTCAGGACTATTTCAAGCAGTTTTTTTTCTTCTGAAGTATATGAGTCTTGTTTGTGACATCCTACTTGGTGCAGCTTCCTTCCCACTTGCTACCAACCATTGTCATAAACCGAGTAGCTCGATAGTATAACTGTCTTGCCAAACCATGTGCAAGTGCAAGGTTAACGTTGGAATGGGCAAGAAAACACGCGGTTTCCCTTCTGCCCTCTTATGTTATTGTTACAGTATATATTGTACTAGTACCATTGATTTCTCCAATCTCGAATAAATAGGAGCCAGATTTCCATAGGTATACCGAAGAAGAGGAAGGGACTTCATTTGGAAACCCTCCTCCGTTCCTTCCGCTTATTGTGCCCAGTCCGCCTCCGGAGACCCCAAGAACAAGAAGAGGAACAAGGAGGTGGAGAATACATCGATCCAAACGAACGCCACGATCGAGACGATCGAGAGATAAAATGGCGTCGGCCTGCTTCTTCGCCCGCTGCGTCTCCGTCCCTGCGCACCTCCTGGCCAACCCCACGCCCCTCGCCATCACCACCTGCGGGTAGGTATCTATACAACCGATCCTGGATCCTTTGGGTTCCGATCTGCTTCATGCTCCGTCTCAAATGATCTGACCTGCAGGCTGCGGCGGCTTGGAGCCGCGGGAGCGAGGCCGGTGTGCGCCGCCGGGAGGATGCTCGGCTCCGTCAGGTCGGTCAGGGTGATCGGTCGGGTGGGACTGGTCGAATGTCAGGGTTTTATCTGTCTACTTACAAGATTGTTCCTCCTTCTGGATGCAGATACGGCACCGGAGCGGCGTTGGGCCCCAAGGAAGCCGATGCGGAGGTGGCCGCCGTGCCGCCGTCGGTGCCGGTGCGCGTCGCCTACGAGCTGCAGCTGGCCGGCCACCGCTACCTCGACGTCAGGTAAACATACTGTCACCTGCTTAACCACACAATCACCTGCTTAATCCCTGCTCTGCCTCTGCCGCCTCTGCACTCTGGTCCCTGTACTGTCAACAGATAGAGAGAAAAATTCAGTTCGCTGCAGACTGTACAGAAAACAAATATGTAAATTGTAAATTGTACGAATCCGTTACATCGATCCGAAACCAGTTTTGCTGATGTCTTGTGTCTGCAGAACGGAGGGTGAGTTCGGCGGCGGGCATCCGGCAGGAGCGGTGAACATCCCCTACATGCACAGCACCGGCTCTGGTAAGTCATTAATCAAACCCACTTCACTCCAGTGAAGCTCCCTCTTGTGATCATAGAAAGAAATATATGGGACCAATGTTAGCAAGATCAGTTATAGTTAATCATCTAGTCCAACGCAAAAGGTATTGTATTTTTGGGCCAGAGTGGTTTCAGAATATGAACATCCGCACTGACAAATCAGGGTAGGCAGCGCTGCAGTCAGTGGGCAGGTGTATAAATCTGAACCAACACGTGAATGCACGTGAATTATGGTGTCTCTATTGGCGCCGCGAATAGTGGTTTTGTTTATTGTTGCTTGGCACCATGATAAGGAGCATTTTTCGGACGCCGGCCGATAAATGAATAATATTGTGATGCTGTCAAACCAGTTTCAGAGATGCAATTTCTTCTTTTTTTTCTATCACTATTCACTAGCCACATCTAAACCCCAAGTGGCTTCAAAGTGGTGCGGGCATGTCCTTCTGGATGAAGTTTACCTTCTCTGCTGACACAATTTAAATTTCCATTGGCAGGGATGGCGAAAAACTCGGGTTTTCTAGAGCAAGTGTCGGCGATATTCAGGAGAGAGGACGAGATCATCATCGTACGTCTTCCACACATCTGTAACACACTCCGTTTTTTTTTGTGCTTTCATTTGAGTTGTCATATCCTCCCTACATTCTCAAAACTTAACTCCAGGGATGCCAGAGTGGCAGGAGATCTCTCATGGCAGCAGCCGAACTCTGCTCCGCTGTAAGCACGTCAATGGCATTATGGCAATCCATCTCATCATCGCTGCTGTTTCACAAACTGCTCTCTGTGATGCGTGTGATGCAACCTTTTTTCAGGGCTTCAGTGGCGTGACCGACATCGCCGGAGGGTTTTCTGCTTGGAAGGAGAACGGGCTGCCGATCAACCAGTGACGTCGTCGACTTCTCTGAATGTGTCTGAAACATTACACGTCTTGATCTTGGATCCAAGACACCATGATAGTGCACTCAATAAATGTTAGCACAACAAGAGATTATGAGCCTCTTCAATATTCCTTTCAACGCCTTCTGTAAATTGTGTAAAACCTACTCCGATCAGAAAATAAGTTTAAGCTCTGATCTGCCTTGCCATTGGCATGATGTCACGATGGCACTCGCAGCTCACAGTGACAGAGTACACAATGTGGGCACTGAATCTGAACTGAAAATAACAATATACAACTTCAACCATGACACGGAATGCAGTTCATAAACGGCCCTTCCCAAAAGCAAAGAGCACTGTTCCTTGAGAGAGTGAAATGAGGATGAAGAAGCAAAGCACAAGCCTCCTCGTGTGCTCTACAACCTGTCAACCAATGCATAATGAAATTAACCCCAATAGCGGTACTGCATGATGTTTGAAGCCATCTTAGAGCATCCACAATGCTAGGCGCTTATCTAGCCGCTTATGGAGAAAACAAACGTCTGGAAATTAAAAAAGAATCTCAACGCCCTCTCATTTCTTTTTTCTTTTTTGCGGGACAACCTCCTCTCATTCACTGCTATACACTAATAGCAGACACTAAGAGCAACTCCAACGGACCGACCCAAATGGACACGCGTTTTGTCCGCATTTTGTCTGTTTGGGTCGGCCGTCCGCCCCGCCGTGTCCGCTTTTTCATTTGCCTCGGCTGATGCGCCCAACGTGGGCGGAACGCATTTTTTTGCATGTCCGTCCCGGCATTTCGCCGAACACGTAGCAGGCGGGGAGCTTGCAGCGAGGCAAAGCGGGCACGGCGCGGCACGGCGAGCATCGGGCGCGGGCGTGAACGAGACGCGAGGCTAGCGGCTGCAGCAGCGAAGCTAGCTAGCTCGCGTGGGGCACCATGCACGGCCGGCACCCACCATCCAGCAGAGCTAGCTGCTCGTGTGGATGGCTCGTGTGAATGCCACTAGTAGAAAAAAGACCTAATGTGAGACACATTAGTCTCGGTTCAATTTTGGTCCGGTACTAATGGTACCATTAGTCCCGGTTTGAACGGCTATACATTAATGCCGGTTCGTGTTGAACCTTTAGTACCGGTTCGTGCCACGAACCGGTACTAAAGGGGTGGTGGCAGGCTGGCGTCAGGCCGGGGCCCCACGAGCCCTTTAGTCCCGGTTCGTGGCACAAACCGGTACTACAGGGCTAACATTTAGTATCGGTTTGTGTCACGAACCGGGACTAAAGGGCCCATTTTGCCATATCTTTTGCATACGATGTCGAAAAAAACGCATAATATATCAAAAAAATCAGCACGAAAATCCGCATCCGATTTTGACAGCCTACGGCCTGTTTGCAATTTTTTAGAATCCTCAAATTCTAAAAGGAAAAAAAGATATGATCAAATTTCAATTTTTTTTTAATTTTCGTTAAATCTGGTCAAATTGTGGTCAAACTATGGTCAAACTAATTATTCAAGAAATATTAGTGTTGATAAATAATTATTTTAGTTTTTGACTTTTGGTCAAATTGTGGTCAAACTATGGTCAAATATGGTCAAACTATGGTCAAACTACTTATTCAAGAAATATCTCGGTTACTAAATAATTATTATTTTTAGAATAATAGTTTCAAACTAAAACGGTGAAACATGTGACTTCATGCTCAAGCTAAATTCTTGAGGGTTAATAGGATTGATAGCTTACTATTGTTAGGTAAACAACATGTGCAGACTTGGAAACTAGGGGGAATAGAACTTGGAAGTTAAGCGTGCTAGTGAGAGAATGGGTGACCAGTCGGGAAGTTAGACGATTTGGAATGATGAGGGGTGATTAGAGCAATGATGAGCGGTGATTAGAGACAAAATCGTTAAATAATTCAAAATTTTGAAAATCGGAAAAAAAATTCAATTTTTTTCGAAAATAATAATAAAAAAACCTTTAGTACCGGTTGGTGGTCCCCCAGATCACCGCGCGGGCTCGTGCCACGTGATGGGCCTTTGGCCCCTGTTCGTGCAGAACCGGTACTAAAAAGGGGGACCTTTAGTCTCCACCCTTTAGTGCCGATTACAGAACCGGGACTAAAGGCCCTTACGAACCGGTGCTATAGCCCGGTTCTGCACTAGTGTGCCCATACTATATGTGAGTATGCGTCAAGCAGGGAGGACGCGAGGAGGGAGTTCGCCGTCGCGCTGCGAGGCAAGGCCGGGAAGTTAGACGATTTGGAATGATGAGGGTGATTAGAGCAATGATGAGTGGTGATTAGAGAGAAAATCGTTAAATAATTCAGAAATTTAAAAATCGGAAAAAATTGAAAAAAAATTGAAAAAAAATAAAAAAAATCCTTAAGTACCAGGTGGTGGTCCCCAAATCACCGCACGGGCTCGTGCCACGTGGTGGGCCTTTGGCGCCGGTTCATGCAGAACCGGTACCAAAGGAGGGACCTTTATTCTCCGCCCTTTAGTGCCCGTTATAAAACCGAGACTAAAGGCCCTTACGAACCGGTGCTATAGCCGATGCGGAGGTGGCCGCCGTGCCGCCGTCGGTGCCGGTGCGCGTCGCCTACGAGCTGCAGCTGGCCGGCCACCGCTACCTCGACGTCAGGTAAACATACTGTCACCTGCTTAACCACACAATCACCTGCTTAATCCCTGCTCTGCCTCTGCCGCCTCTGCACTCTGGTCCCTGTACTGTCAACAGATAGAGAGAAAAATTCAGTTCGCTGCAGACTGTACAGAAAACAAATATGTAAATTGTAAATTGTACGAATTCGTTACATCGATCCGAAACCAGTTTTGCTGATGTCTTGTGTCTGCAGAACGGAGGGTGAGTTCGGCGGCGGGCATCCGGCAGGAGCGGTGAACATCCCCTACATGCACAGCACCGGCTCTGGTAAGTCATTAATCAAACCCACTTCACTCCAGTGAAGCTCCCTCTTGTGATCATAGAAAGAAATATATGGGACCAATGTTAGCAAGATCAGTTATAGTTAATCATCTAGTCCAACGCAAAAGGTATTGTATTTTTGGGCCAGAGTGGTTTCAGAATATGAACATCCGCACTGACAAATCAGGGTAGGCAGCGCTGCAGTCAGTGGGCAGGTGTATAAATCTGAACCAACACGTGAATGCACGTGAATTATGGTGTCTCTATTGGCGCCGCGAATAGTGGTTTTGTTTATTGTTGCTTGGCACCATGATCAGGAGCATTTTTCGGACGCCGGCCGATAAATGAATAATATTGTGATGCTGTCAAACCAGTTTCAGAGATGCAATTTCTTTTTTTTTCTATCACTATTCACTAGCCACATCTAAACCCCAAGTGGCTTCAAAGTGGTGCGGGCATGTCCTTCTGGATGAAGTTTACCTTCTCTGCTGACACAATTTAAATTTCCATTGGCAGGGATGGCGAAAAACTCGGGTTTTCTAGAGCAAGTGTCGGCGATATTCAGGAGAGAGGACGAGATCATCATCGTACGTCTTCCACACATCTGTAACACACTCCGTTTTTCTTTTTTTT